CTGTTGGGTGGTGTGCCACATTGATGTCCCTGTATAGCAGGGTATATTTAGTGATATTTCCATTTCTCTCTGATAAAATGGGTGGCTGCCAAGTTAACAGGACCGATGATGAAGTGGCACTTTCCGTATGTAGGTTCTGAGGGAATCCACTTGGTAGATCTTCCGGAATTGAAATTTCTTTGACTATTTCCTCCCCAAAGCCCACTTTATTTCTAGCTGCAAGCCTGAAGACGTAGGAAGTCCCTTTATGGATATCTGTGGCTGTGTAGTGGTCATCCTTTTCAGTAAATTCCCTCATTTTAAATGTCTCCATGTCTTTTCGGCCAAAACTCAGGCGGTATCCCTGCAGGGGGCCATATGTGTCAGCAGGGGGATGCCACTGAATGAGAGCCGTACTCATTTGTGTATGGCTAATCACAAGGCGAGGTTTTCCTGGAACTACAAAACAATGTTATTTTAGCAATGAATGCATTCATCTTTTCAAATATTTTACTTTATCTGGGTTTTTTTAAAAAATAGCAATATGAGATCCACTTTGGGTCGAATCCTATAGATGCGTGAGCAGAAGCTTGCACAAGAATATCTTCCTGCTCTTTTCTTCTACCAGCAGTCCACTGAAAACCCTCAGTTGAGGCTTAGGGACCCACATGAACAAAGTGCCATACAATACAGAGGGGTTGAGTGAGGAGGAAGAACTTGACCAGACTGTCTCCTCAATGCTCATGCTTTCAGGGAGTTTCACCCAAAATTCCTCTCCCACTTCATAACATAGGGATACGTGGCACTTTTTTCATGATGTCATCTTGACCCTCAGCAGTGGTTTTACCAGGCACACTATGGGGAAAAGGTAGAGAATATCTTCTTACATGAGTTACTTCCATTCTTGCATCAATAGGATCAAACCCACCATTAGCCAGTGCAACAAGCTTGCCACTTAGTTATTGCTTTCTACCCATCCATCCTCTGGCATGAAACAAACAACAAATAAATTGAAATTACTTTTCCAGACCTATTTTTAAAGTGGTTAACATAAGCAAATATAATTATTGTTGAAATAGCAAATGAACATGATTTATTTATTTATTATTTATTTATTTCACTTTTACCCCGCCCTCCCCGCCAGGTGGGCTCAGGGCGTCTTTCAAAAACTGTGAAGCAGTATACATTTTACAGTAATAGAATAAAGTACATCATTTAAAAACATAGACCAGTCAATCACATGTTAATTTCTCAGGAACCAAGGACTAGTTCACAAACTCAGCAATAACACAGCAAAGCTTAGAGAGTTTCTGTCTTGATTGGGATTTGTTCTCTCTTAGTCCTAGGTTTTCCTTTCAACAAACTTCCATTAATTTCTGCATAACTTTGAAGAGCAGACCCCAAGGAGTAAGGAGAAAATTCCCCTCCCTATTTCCATGGGGTTCATGGAAAACAGGACATTTTTTAAAAAAAATCCATGATTGTATATTTTTATGAACTGAGTACTCTGGGGGAAAGGCTATGCATGTACTGCAGCAGAGAAACAAACAAAAATTAGGTGGGAAAATCTAAGATAGCCCTTTCTGTTCAAAATCCTAAAATCCAATATGGATAGTAAAATTTTGGCCATTTTGTGGTTTGTTAAGTGAATGTGTTATTTCTCCAGAAAGCACTTTCTTGGGGGCACCATCTTTTGGGGGGGCAGAACTCAGACCCCATAAATCCAATCTCCACCAAATTTGGAGGGCAGGTAGAGGAGAGTCAGCTGGAGACAGCCTGTGAGTTTAGTGAGTCTAGCATGCTGGATGTGTGTGCTGTTCTACCACATTAAGAGCCGCCCTGAGCCCATTTGGGGAGGGCGGGATACAAATCTAATAAATAAATAAATAAAATAAACCTCAAACCAAACCAGTTCATCTGGCTCCTAAAACTTCATGACAGTTCATGGTTTCTAAACTGGGCATGCCATGGACTGAACCACATTTTCCAGGTTCGTGCCCATCCCTAGTAAAATCAACCCAAATAGAATTTCATAATTATTCCCAGTAGACCTTTACCCTGAGTAGATTACTTCAGGCTGTAAGTGGAAGAATCAGATGTCCTAAACTTTTCTATTTAATAAGACCCATAAAACCATACCTATAAAATGAGTATGTCTGTGTGAATGGATCATCCAAGCCTTACCCATCAAATGTTATTTTTCTATGTGTGGTGAGATGGTTTATCAAATTTATATTATTTGCACCCTCTCATCTGCATTGCAGAAAACATTTTATCACTTAAATTAACTAAGTGTATAAATAGCCTTGACTTAAAATAATGGCAAATCTTCTACCTGGGATGTCACACAAAACGGAAGTTTCAAATGACAGTTCTCATCAAACAGAAAACACAGCCTTGAGAGTTTGTCATCAGCAAATGCTTATCAAAGCAGAAAAAAGCACTAAATCTTAGAGTTATTCTTCTTAGAGGTCATAAGATCCATACAAAAATTATTTCTTTTACTGATACATAAGGGGTATATAACTTCCAATATAATCCCATACGTGGTTGCTCTAATCTTAACCAATGGGCGAAGACTGGAGTAATTCTTTATAGCATTGCACTGCAAGATTTGCATATTTGACTTCTTTTGGACAATATATTCCACATGTGGAGAGAATGCAGAAGAAGAACTAACAGAACATAATATAAAGAAGTGTGTAATCAGAACAATGGGTGTGAAAAAGAAGAAAATTAAAGATCAATTATGCGCTTCAAATGATAAAAGTGAGAAACAGTACTGCAAACCTGAAGTCAGAGGAAGATACTTGTTTGAATACATTTTATTTAATTTACCTTTCACCAGAGTAACAGGGAACAACTGATTCCATCTGATAAGAAACAGCAAATATTTTTTTTGGAAAATTTTAAGATTAGTGGAATCCTAGCCACTACCACCAAAAATACATGAACTCTGGTGTCTTACAGCTATTTCCTACTTGCCACTCATTTTAGCACCACATTATTGTGCAAATACAACCCTGTGTATTTTATAAGTTTCCACCATACTTTTCAATATATGAAAGTATATCTCACTGATTAATTCTGACTTTTCTGCCAGTACTGCATAAGAAAAGCCAGCTACAGAGCTGTAAAAGACTATAGATGTATATTTGAGGCCGTATTTCTCATTGTATTATAACTATCACTGAAATCAATGGAGCATAACAAAGGCAGGAGAGTCCACAGACATGGAATAATAACTCCTTCAGATTTCTAGAGAGGAGGTTTCTGGAAGCTGTCACTGAAGTATTAATGCCATAAATTGCCTTTACTCCTATGGCAGCCCCTATGTTTAAGGCTAGTTTTTTAAAAAAGTAAAGATTCTTATTTTTATTCTTATTATTTCTCTATGGGAGTAGTAATAAATTGAAAGCTTACACAAAGCCTAAAGTAAGACGAGGTCAGGAGTCAAGTATCATGGTTGTGATAATGTCTAGAATCCATCCATAGTTCACAACCCAGTGGGTAGCTCTCCTGTGCAAGCTTCATTGAAATGAATGGGAGTTGTGTTTTAATTTCTGATTAAAGGGGATTTTGGAAAAGTGAAATTTAAAATAAATAAACAAATAAATAATCACAGAAAGTTGTGACTACAGTAACTAACTATGGACACAATCAGACTGGCTTAAAATCTAGTTGATTTATTTCATTTAAAATTGCATGCTTTTATTATATTTTCATTGTATTTTTATTAATTCTAATTAAGCTGTTTCGGGCTTTTTGGTGAAAAAGAGGAAAATAAATATACTAAACAAAAAAGCTTACAGCCACACACTGTTAACACGCTCTATCCCCCCTCATTCATTCAGACTTCTACTTTATCAATGCTTTGTTGGTACAAAACTAAAGTGTCAGTGGATGGGTATAGTAACTGGACTTAATGTTGGTTTGAGAGACAGGTAATTTTACAACACAATGCTATGAAGAGTTATTCTAATCTCAATCCATTCATTTCAGTAGTCTTATACTGGATTGCACTGTTTATCTGGTAGGCTTCTCTCCAATGTTATTGTTTCATCAGTAGTATCATTTGGCAAGGAACCAATGGTCCTGAATTGGAATTTCAAAAGTAGTTTGTGATATGACAGGGGGACTGCAGTTCAAGGAAAAGAGTAAAAAATCCACAGGATATGTCAAAGCTATTAGGTAACCTGACGTAGTCCTGTAGATCCTGAACTTCTTCTGTACTTGAGGAAATCATTTTGAAATTTACCAGTACTTTGAACTATTTTAACAATCTATAGAATAATTTTCAGTTTCAATTTAGCAAGTATCTGAGCACACACAGCTGGTTTAAGAAAGAACATCCAAATATTACCTGCGCCAGTGGTAGACACTAGTCTTGGCTTGCTGCGTGCGCCGTCTCCTTTAGTTGTATAGGCTGTCACAGTTAGGGAATACGTTGTTTCAGGCTGTAGTCCAGAAATAATCATTTCCTAAAATGAAATTATAAAAACCAAACATGTCTTAAAATACATGCAATATTTAAGCATGAGAAAGTCATTTCAGAATTAGTTGTGATGCATCCAATGCAAATATCTTTTCTGCTACCAGCAGTGATAGCAAGCTTTTGGGAATACCCAAAGGTGAGGCTTATGAGTGAGGGTTTGCAAGGCGTGGTACTGCACTTACTTAAGCAATAAGCATAGCGACAGTTCTGAGCATCATGCCCCTAGTAGTAGTATCAAACAAAGAATGACTGATGCTAGGTATACTAATAATGTTTTTAAAAGATCACCTACAATGTGTTTTCTGTTCAGACTTATTGCTATTGTGGGTTGAGTACAAGTGGAAGGGGGAAATTAGAAACTCAATTTCAACTGATCATTATTGACAAGCAACAAAATCAGTATTTATACTACCAACTACAGCACTTTTTTTTCATTCCAGCTGCTAAAGCTGTATACCAAGACTGCAATTCTATAAACACTCACTAGTTAAAAAGTAAGACCCACTTTATTTAGTAGGTGCTTCAAAAGCTCCAAATAAGAAACCTCTAATATATAATTATAATAATAATAATAATAATAATAATAATAATAATAATAATAATAATAATACAAAAATGATAAAAATTTACTGCGGTACTGATTATTCAAATAAGTAAAGTCACTTTACAATCTGTTATTCAAAATTTTAAAGAATCGTTCAATATAAGACTTAAAAAGTCAATATAAGGCTTATGTCTGCTTGATAACACAATCTACTTAACAACAATTATTAACAAGAGTAATGAGAAGGTAAAATTTAAAAAGTGGAAAATAATTATATACAGAATTGAGTATTCAGCCAAAGTGATTTCAATGAAGAATCAAGAATGCAGTCTCTTTGTCTCTTTGAAAGTGTCTCTTTGAAATCAATGGAATATAAGTCTTTAACTTTGGTTGGACTCTATCCCAACTTTTAAAACGTATGTATCTTCTGGCGATTGGCTTTGATTTGTGGAACAAAGTATTTCTATACTAGTTGCAGCAGAAAAAAAATGCAAAAATAAGAATCTGTATTTGTCTTTGAAGCTATAGTATAGTATAGTATAGTATAGTATAGTATAGTATAGTATAGTATAGTATAGTATAGTATTCACAGTTCAAGCACAGCACCCACAGATGAAGAATTCCCATTTTCCCCTTTCCAATGTATGCTCAGCTTTGTATACATTTGGCTCAACCAGCTATTAGCAGGACTGGTAACAGTATACATGCCTCCCATATTCTTATTCAGCTATACTTTTAACCAGTATAGGTACTCATGCTTTAGAACACATATAACTTTCATCAGGCTGAGAAGTACAGCTTCATGGTAGCATGGAAGGCATGCACAAACCTTTAAAATCTCACAAACTAAGGAAAACATCTTTAAATAATGATGGTGAATTTTAACTGATGATATTCACAGCAAACCTGTCTAAACACCATAGGCATTGGGTTAGTACAAATGTATATTTCCATAAATATACATTTAATATGGTACCTTGTTCATTGAAATGGAAATTAAGTTAGCAATGACAAAGGATTCTTTTTCAGCAAATAATGAATGAATGTATTGGGGCCTGAAGGATGGTTAGTTATGAAGCTGACTGGCATGATAAATGCGGTGTCTTTTTAAAAATAAATTTTAAAAATCACGATTCATTTGATTGCATGACAAAGTTAGTGACAACCACTGAACAAACAAATAAGCAGATAGCATGGCATATTCAAAAAATCAGCACTGAGCCAATGCAAGAGAGAGAGAGAGAGAGAGAGAGAGAGAGAGAGAGAGAGAGAGAGAGAGAGAAATCTGGAGGGGGGAGAAAAATCCAAATGCCAAAGACAATTAAATAAAGTATTAATCCATGCATATGAGCAAACAACCAAACATTGGGGGGGGGGGGGGATACTGCAGAAAAAAGCACCACACTTTGCTGTTTGGGCAGTCAACTGCTACTCACATGTTCAGTAGTATCATCATATTCCCACTGATTGACAGTAAAGAATGTTGGGAAGAAAAAAAAAGATAGAAAAAAATGAGGAAATACTTGTAGCCTGGCTGAGCCTTTGTAGAATTCAAAAAAAAAGAAAAAGAAAAAAAGAGTTGAATCTGAAGCTGCCTTTTTGTCATAGAAGGAAACATTTCCCTTTAATGGAAAAGGTTTCACTGATCATGGCAGGAGCCCTTCCACAAGTGGAAGACTTTTCCACAAATAGAAGACTACTCTGGGTAGAAAAAGAACTTTATAATTCAACCCTGTAAAAAGTAGTTATCAAAATCAGTCTTGATTTGGAAAACCAGTTCTTAAAAACTGGCTTATAAATTTCCAATTCCATACTTGTTGCAAAAGTAATTCATAAATAGCACACTGCACAAAGCTAGGGAAATACAGAAAACCCACTGCCCGAGTGTTGTTATTGCTTAGTAACATTTTATGACTGCTTTAATGTCTGCTGCTGAGATGTAATGAAAGACTACATTTTGTTTAATCACATGCTACCACACCCTATTCATTTTTATTTCTATTCTACCTTGTTGAAATTAATTCACTGCCCCTGTTTAGTTTAATACAGACAGGCTGTATTTACTTGAAAATTCATAGAAGTAATGACCACATTCCATGTTCTCCGTTGGGCAAAGCCACACAATATTAGCAAGACCTCCCCCCCCCATAAACCTTTATATGAAAAGGGGGCACACATCAAACCTTGTGCAGGCAATAATGAAAAAAGGGCCAGCCCAGTAGTAATTTTATATATTTTCCAAAAAAAATAAAAGAAAAAGATTCAAACTTTTACAGAAAAAGCAGTTGATATTTTTTTACATCTTTAAATTTTAACAATCATATGTTTCTGTTCAGAACAGACTTATCTGATGGTTGTCTACTGCTATGTTTCCATACAAAATTAATGTTAAATGGAAGACTATGTAGGCTTCATGGCCCTCACAATAACAGCACGATTACTGTACTAATATTATACAATACTACACAATATTATAAAAGTTTAGCACAATAAACCCAGATTTCAAAACGCATAAAGCACAAATATATAATTAAACCCCCTCATTTTCAAACCTCTTTCCTTAAAATGAAGAAATCTGTTTTCCCAGTACACAGATTCTCTATCATCTGTTACAGTTTATAAGAGAATAGTTTCACACTGATAACACATTATATTATGAGCATTCATAATATTTTAAAGCCAGATATGACATTTTATTTGATCAGTTATTTATGAAACCATCATTCCATATGTTTAAATTTCTCTCTACTTCTTAACATTATAAAGCTGTAAACAAGCTATGTATGTTAGCTATGATTCAGCCAAACAGACAGATTTTAATGGACTTATTCCAGCTAATATTGGGAAAATACAGTGCAACAGTACCCAAAGAGATCTAGAGTCTGACAATTCCCAGTGATATACAGTTCCCCCAAACAGAATAGAATAATCTTTTCAAAAATACTAACAATACATGGAATGCAAACTAATTGTGTCATGGAAATATGCTGATGTGGATTACTTTCTCTCGTACCTTATGAAATGTGTATCCCACAAGCCACTGAAAACAGGTATAACACAAGCTCTGTATATACACAGTACATGTATAGAAGATAGAACTGTTCCAAAGCTAGCTGAAATCATTCCCCTCCCCTTACCATTACCTCTTTCTTGGAACTTTCAGGGAGGGCAGCAGACCCAAAGGCGACAGCACAGATGGGAGGTGGTTCCCCTGTCTTTCTTGCCCCTCCAAGGGAAACCTGCTCCTTAATGGCAACAGGAAAGGCAGGAGGTTCCCTCCCCACATCCATGCCACTGTCTCCTCATGGGTCCAGGGAAGGCTAGATACAAAGGCTTTACATTTTTTTTAAAAAAAATCTTTCCTTACTAGTATACTTTCAGCCCTCCTTATCTCTCCCTCCCTCCCCAGTCACAACTAGAGAGGGACTGAGGTTGTCTTCTGAAAGTGCAGCCCAGCTCCTAAGGATAAGTATGAGGTACAACATTCAGTGATAGGAGAGCCCCCCTCATGCTGGGGAGGTGAGGAGGACAGGACGAGAGTAGCTGTGGAGAGCACCCAGGCTAAATGATGAAGAACTTTGTCTCTTAGTCAAGAATACAATCTCTGCATAGCCATCGTGGATAAAATTTATTCAGGGCTGCTTGTCCACTCCCCCCCCTCCTCCCCATCCCAGCTGTTAAGGATAGCGAGGAACAGAACAGAAGGCTGAGAAGCCAAGAGGAGACAGAACAAAAGTGTCACCCTTATCATCATGATGACCCAAGTAGTATCTTATACTGTTTGTGCCGTGATCTGGCCCTGAATTTATTCACTTGTCATGAGCATAAACACAAAAGATGCGGCTTCTCATCCAGAAACTCTTGTACACAACAGGCACTGCTGCCTTTGAGGATTTCACTGTCTGTTGCAACACTGAGTATCACCTAATTAGGAGGAACAAAAGCGTTCCATCCAAAAGCTGATGGGACCAGACAACAGAAACTATCAGTACAGCAACATGCATCTGTTTCAGATGAAGGTTAGTGAATACGAGATACGGGCTTTTCACTCCACTGTTGCACCCCTTAATTTAGACAGATCCAGAAAACTGATTTATATATGAAGAAGCCTGGTCTACAGAAAGGGTTTGGTCCGACTGCCAGTTCCAAGAACAGTCAGGACACTCTGAATGGTGCCAGCAGTGGGAGTCTGGGGTGGAGGAAGAGACATTTTGATTTCTAACTGGAAGTGATGTCTTGATGTTCTACAAATTTGCTCTTCTCTACGTTTGTATTATTGTTATTATTATTGTCATTTCTGGGTACAAACTGAAAATGACTTCACAACATCACATGTTGTTCCCTGCCTCTTACTCCTGCTGGACTGAAGAGGCCAAGGTGGTCTGGAGCCTGGGGGCAGGAGATTGCCCACCACTTCTGGGAGGATGGCAACCCTATCTATTGGTGATAAACTATTGTAATAAGGAACACACAGCAGTTTTCGGCATAAACTAAAAGATAAAACAGGTGCAACCAGTATACCATTTTCCTTGTTATCTATATACAGAGAATGTGGATAGTTACCTGTGCATCAGCCAACATGATATCCTTCAGCATGGGCTGGCCCCTAGGCTCTCCATTTTCCATCTTCACATAATGCACCTGGTATCCTCGGATTTGACCATGCTGCTTATTGGGCACTGGGGAACGCCATGACACTTTAACAGATGTAGAGTTGACAGCCTCTACCTCGACTTTGCGAGGAGGACCACTAGGAACTGGAACACATCAGTGGATAAAAGAAGAATTACAGGCACTTGCTCCAACCAACCAGAGTCTTTTCTTTCCTTTTAAAGGGCAGACCCACTAAGCTTTCCTTGAAGAATACAAATGGAAACACTCAACAAATCTGCTCTACATTTCAGTGAAAAGATCAAAAACCATGACTGATGCAAAAATGGAAGAAAAAGAGTATTAGAGAAATAGAAAAAACATGTAAAAATGTACAAAAGCCAAGGAAGATGCTTTGAAACTCAAAGCATTAAAGTACAAAGAAGTATTTTAGTAATCAAAATAATAAAAAAACCAAAAAGACTTGTAAAATGCTGGTAGTTTTCTGAAATTTTTTTTAAGAGGGGAAAAAAAAGATGATGGGATCTGGTCTGCCATCTTCTATGTTCATAGTTGAAAGACATTCAACATCCAAAATACTTTTAAAACCAAGGAGCATCAGTATTCCAAAATAGATAAACATAAATGAAGAGTTAAAATGGAAGAGTTTAAAAAAGTAAGAAAAAAGGGAGGAAAAAAACTCCAAACATATGCAATTTTTAAGAAGAAGAGAGGGAAAGGGCCATGAGTAAGCAGCACTTTTCAAGTGTTTTCCCCTCACAAAAAAGATATTTTGATTTCAAAGGTTAAAAAAAGAAGCAAAACAAATGCAGACATATGCATTTGAGTTTAAAATATTTCAGAAAATTTGGGGTAAATTTTAAGGAAAAGGGGAATTAAATCATACAAAGCAGACTGAGAGTCAGAGTCAAACTGATGGGTTGGAGGCAACATACCATCTTCATCTGTCCGAATCAATACAGATTCACTCTCTGGGCCAGGTCCGACATCAGTGTGGGCTGTCACAGAAATCCGATATTCAGTCCATTTTTCCAACTGTTCCAAAAGGTACTGTGTAGTATCCGGAGCAATTCCCAAAATGTCATGGGGCTTGTCATCTTCCCCATCAATTCCAGTGTACTTGATGGAGTAGGAAGTGATAATTCCATTCTGTTTTTCCACTGGAGGAGGATGCCAACTTACCAAAATGCTAGTGGAGCTGGGGCTGTTGCAACTAATGTCTTGAGGAGGAGCTGATGGCTCTAATTTCAGTAGTGGGTTAAAGGAGGATTTAAGTGAAAGGACAGAAGTGGTTGAAGAAAAAAAATGAACAGAAGGAAATAAATAAATAAATAAATAAAGGGCGACCCAAGGAAAAATAAAAATCACAAACTTAAAAGCGAAAACTTCAGATAATTTTATGAGCCTTGGCTTATTAAAGTGAACCAACTGAACATGAATTAACTAAAAGGTGAAAAGGGATGTGGGGGAAGATACATGAAAATGAGCCTCAATATACTGTTACCTACCTGTGATTAACAATTCTTCTTGAACTAAAAACCACAAATATGATACCATGATGCATCTATATACCTAAGCCCCTATCTTATATGTTCACTGGTATCTTTTACTTTCTTTCTTAAACAAAAAAACAAAAAACCCTCTCCCCCAAAAAACCCCCCCAAGCCACTATTTTAGCACGCTAGAGACACTGGTCAGTGTGCACTGTTACCTTCTCATTGTAGAAAATATTACCTTACACAAACTGCCAGGTAAAATATTACCTTGCACAAACTGCACAAACTATCCAAAATTTCAGCCCACTTCCCCCAAAATAAATTCTCCAGTGTACTTCTGTCAGTGCAGTCCTAAACACCTATACTCAGAAGTAAATCCCACTGAGGTAAATGGTACTTTCTCCTTGGTAAGAGTTCTTAGTATAGCAGCTTCTGTTTCTTTTCTTTTACAATGGAGCCTACCCAGATTAACCCAAATATAATTAAGGTTTCAATCAAAAAAAATTATCTAAGCATATAGCATTATAAAACATGCAGAATCAATAAGGAGATGATGTTATTCTTAGGCAAAGATTTACCTACCATGGAAAAAGTGACAGGGCTGATGATTCTGACTGTAACTTGTACTTACCCTAGATCCAGGCTCTCTCTTATATTTTAGCTCCTCTTGGAAAACCTTGTCTAGCAAAGAATTAAAGTCTACCAGCGATTTTATAATGCCACATATAAACAGCTACCCACCCCTCATAATACACAAAACAGCTATTTAAAAATAAAAGGATGCTTAGCCAAAATACAAACACACACATATTTTAACTAAATTTTATAATACACTTCAGTTAAGCATCCATCACTGACATCTAATGTTTAATTGGAAAAAGGAACCAAAATGCTTGGCCATTGTTATGTTTGTCAATGGATAAGCCTAAGATCTTAGAACATTTGGCTCATTGGCGTTACAGTTCATTAGCTTTAATACAACTTCAAATGGCCTCCAGTGAACTTACTCAAAGCTAGTAATATATCTTGCATGTTTGGGAAACTGAACTCTGTAATGCTACATACATTTATATGCAGCTGTATTGATTTTAATGTAATGTTACCCCTTTCTATCTTTTTCTCTGACTGCCTACCTGGTGTGCGTTTGTGTGCCCACAATCTATTTTATTTTCTGTAATACCCCTCTGTGGGATCTTTAAAGCACACATTTCTTTTGATCTTTTGTCTTCAGAAAAAAGGACAGGAGATCCATTGCTCTTGGAGCACTCAAAATATTTTGTCTCATGACTGGGCATCATGCAACTCTTCTAAGAAAATGTAAACACCATACCTGCAGTCTTTTAAGTTTCCTGTCTAAACATCCTATACAGATACTCAATATATTGCAACTGCTAAAAAAATGCTCTCACTTGCTTGTCAACAAGTATAAGGAACAGAAATAAAGTAATCAAGGAGAGACACCTACTTGACTGCATTGTTCTTGCTGAAATTTCTGCAGTTGAAGCACCAAGGCCCTGCGGAGAGCGCGCAGAGAGACGGAAGTAATACAAACTATTTGGTTTCAGGCCTTGTAAATGGTAAGATGTTGCTGGTTCAATAGAAATTCTCTGCTAAACGGTAAGGAAGAAAAAATGTATGGGAGAAGTAATTAATATTCAGATATCAGGATGTTTTCTTGAAAAGAATACCTAAAACCAATACTAAAACCTCTTATAAAAAGGAGCTAATTCAAACATTATAGCCACCATCTGGAGACCACTGAAATGGTGTGGTAGTGGCTCAATGAAAGACCCAAATTGTATGAAAGCTGCACATAAAATGAATAAGGCTCATTATATGGAAACCTTTCTGTCAGAAATCCACATTCCTGAGATGGAGAATCACCAAAGATTTTGGAGATGGAGGTTCTTGCACTTTATAACTACTTTGTGGAGCTCCAACATTATGTAAGGATTTCCAGAGGCCTCCACATGGTAGTTATAATATTTTATTCAACCATCAACTTAAATAGAATTCACATAGCTAAAGGTGTTTCAGTGCTGCTTTGTATAGAGTTCTGTGGATATTCTGTTAAAGTTTTCTACGTATATCAAAAATGAAAAATAATTAAAAGCAAACAATGTGATTTGCTTCTGAATTAACCAAACAATAAGTATAAGATACTCTGAATGTGGAGGTTCCCCTCAGTCACCATGGCTAGCAGCCACCAATTGACTTATCCTTCATGAATCTATCTAATCCCCCTTTTATAGCTGTTTATTCCTGTGGCCATCACCAACGCTCCCTCTAAGCTGTGGAGTCTTGTGAGCAAAAAAAATCTACTTTGTGAGCTGCTGGCATTAAAGTTGTGAGCGAGCAATTTGGCTACTGCATAAATTAGTTTGCTCTGGAGCCACCCTGCCTGAGCTAAGACAAAAATGTATGAGCCAGAGGCTAAAAACCTGTGAGCTAGCTCATACTAACTCAGCTTAGAGGAAACACTGGCCATCACTACATCCTCCAGCAGCAAATGCCACATTTTAATCACTCTCAGTGTAAAGCAGTATTTCCTTTTCTCTGCCCTGACCCTACTGCCCATCACCTGCATTGGATGTCCTCAAGTTCTAGTATTTTGGGGGAGGGAGAAAAAGTTCACTTTGTCAACTCTCTCCAACCCATGCATACTTTTATAAACCACTATCATGTCCTCCCCTCGGTTATCTCTATTCTAAACTGAAAAGCCCCAGACTCTTCAGCCGTTCCTCATAGGGAAGGTACTACAACCCCCTCATCATCTTGTTTACCCTCGTCTGTACTTTTTCCAGCTCTGCAATGTATATGCTGTAATATATACTGGTAGGCATAAATATACTCCACAACATATACTGTTAGGCATCGACTGACTGACTATGCAAAAAGAGAAGGCACATACAAGTACAGTGCGGGAAAGGGAGCATGTAAGTACAGCATTTATTTGCATAGTGCAAAATCATGGTTCAGTGTCATGTCTGAATGAGTCACCTGTGTCAGACATGGAAATGTAATTGGGGGGAAAAATCAAATGCAAAAGTCTGTCAAAGGAGAGACAACAGTTCATTTACCTCTTCTCCATGTTCTCCATCTTTGTAAACGAGATCATAATTGGAGATTGTGTCAGACCGTGGAGGGGTCCAAGAAAGTAATATGCTTGTTTCAGATTCGGGTTCTGCTTTGAAGTTCAATGGCTGTCCAGGTACTGAAGCAGGAGGATACAATATCAGCAAATGTTTGCTCTTGCTGCACATTTACAAAAAAAAAAATCTTATGACCATATACTCTATATTTTAACCTTTTTGAGCCTTTGGGCACATTGGAATTCTGACATAGCATGATTATTGCAGTCACAAAATGGCTGCCACAAGAGGTGGAGCGAGCCACCAAAATGGCTTCTGCAGCTTACCTTCAGTCACAGAGTGAAGACCCTTGTACTGTGGTGGCAGCTGCTGCCAAAGCAACGCTTTTAAAAATCTGTACAGATAATCAAATCTCCAATGGCCAATTAGAAGCCTTGCTGGGCAAAAGCCCCGTCTGGCTCTCCCCTCTTTCAAAACACACTTGATGGCCACCAGGAAAAGTGTCACTTAGGGGCTTCTACTCTATACAGTCCAGGAAAAGTGTCACTTAGGGGCTTCTACTCTATACAGTCCATTCTGTTTTAAATTAGAGGGGGTGGTCACACGCGCAAGAGAAAGTTGGAGGGAAGTGAGGCCATTTCCTCCAGAGGAATTTGAACTGCCGTAGCACGATCACACAGTCCTTGGAAGCTGCAGGCACAGTCCACCACTGTGTGATCAGATGCAACCACAGGTGAGTCGGGGTTTTTATTTTGCTGTTTGTTTCCAATGCGCTTAAATGAGGAATTGATTAATTGCATCTCTGCACCGAGGGCTCCCTTATGGAGTTTGCGATAATGCACATACTGAGGCGGGGGGGGGGGAAACAATGGCACAGAGTCGGGATGGCCTGATCAGACCATCCCAATGCCATGAGAGCGCGCTGGAGCAATCAGACAGGGAAAAGTCTGTCTGTGGCCCGTCGCAACCCGTTTACTACCAGGTTTTCCCCGGTGTCTTTTTACTCCACTTCTGCGGTGGAGCAAAACGGGTTGCCGATGGGTGCAGGGCGTTTCCCAGATGTTCATGTCTGATTGCGTCCTTTAAATTCGCCTGGCATTCGTGCGTGTGATCGCACCCAAAGATTTTCTTAAACACAAATGCAAAACAGTCCTCACCAAGATGGCCAAACAATACTACTGAACTCATCCTTCATATTTATAAAAATTAAAATAGATCACGCATAATCCGAACATACTGATTAATGACAACTAGTCTAAATTGGCTCATTGCATACATTAATACAGAGGACAATGACTCTCTCAGAAGTCTGTGTCTGTTAGATTGCTATTTAACAATCAACTTCACTAGAGAGTGACTCAAATTCTGTCTGCAGCCATTCTTGTTTACTCAACCTTGACTCTCATTTCCAGTGGCTAGCAACAAACAAACAACCAAACAAAAACCCCTCATGCAGCCTCAGTAAAATACAATTTTGACAGTGCAACCTTATGCAAAGTTTTACATTACTGTGTTTAGACTAGAGTGATTCTACATACGATTGCACTATAAATCCTATGTGGACTCTGAAACTGAATCTACAATGTAATTTGGAAGAAAATCTCTTGACATCAAAACAGAGTTGAATTCTCAACAGGTCATTTAATTAAATCTTCCCAAGAAACTGCTCTACAGCAATACTATCACATGTGAAAGAAATTGATTTTTCCTTTGATGGCAATGTCAATGCATCCTAGCTCCTATGGTATACATTTTAGATCTTTGCCAGGTTGTTAAATACCATTTGGTTGCCATTTTCAGGCAATCAAAACTGATTCCAAACAACAAGCCTTTTTAAAATAAAAAAACAACAACAACATAGCTCTTGCAGTATTTGACCATTTAAATTCATGTCCCTTTTTAAAAGCAAATTTCTTTTTGAATTTTTGTTAAATCTTATGAGAGGTAGCAGTTATTTTAGCCTCTAAAATAGTATTTTAGCAAACTGGAGTCTAGGGATCAATGGGTACTGTAGACGGTTTGAGAGTCCTTTACAAGGACAGAAGGTGAGCCCCTCTCATGCCCATGAAAACAAAGGCCTTTCAATTTTCTAGGTAGGAGAACAGAAAGGGTCTTCACTGGCTTTGGTCTCTTTTGAAGTGCAGATGTTGCTACTGAGCCACCTAGCTTCCAGATCACCTCAAATTGTATTTCACCATTCACATGAAAAGGAATGGGGAGGAAAAGACGCCTAGCTTCCAGATCACCTCAAATTGTATTATTTCACAATTCGCATGAAAAGGAATGGGGAGGAAAAGACACAAAGAAAGAGGAACAGAGAGAAAAACAGGAAAAATTACCTATCTCAATTCCATATAGATGCATACAGCAATGCACCACTGTTCATCCACAAAATATGACATTCTACAGAAACCAACATCAAGTAATCTTAACAATATGCATTTTTACTCATGCCAGTAGTACACCATTGCCCATATTCCAGTACACTATTGCATATACCGTAACAGTCCATAACTGCACATAACCCAATAATATACCACAGCTGTAGATATAACTATAATCTACTATCATATCACAGACAAAAACATCTCAATCCTACTTAGCTCTTGAAAGTGCTGATGAAACTTCCCTATATCAAAAATAGTTACCTAAAAGGGGGGGGGGGACCAATACTCCCTTGTTTACCGGAGTTTACCTTGCCTTATTTTCTTAATTTAGGTTGACTTCTGTCTTGTCAGTCTATCAACGTATAAATGTAAGCTCTAAAGCTTCATCATAAACTTGAAAGTTTCTAGGTGAGTGCTGCTTCTGCTGCATTCCTTCACTCGCCTACCAAGAACGGAAGGGGTGGTTTCAGCCGTGCTAGTATGAACCTGGCAAGCCTCTACCATTATTTTTTCCTGCAGCCAATCCATCACTCCCAAGTGCAGACTTCTGCCCAAGTCCTAATGACAACCTCAGTCCAGCTAATAGTATAACTGTATCCGTCGCTTTAGTTTTGAAAGATGTATTATTCCAAGCATGTATTATAGTCACTACAGTACATGTACAGTTGTTTGCTCCATTGGAAATCATTACCCATGTCTCAACTGCTAGTCCTTTTCTTTATTACAGTTATTACAGGAGCCTGAGTGGTGTTTCTTAACTCTGTCAAACAATGATTGTTTACCAGGCAAAACTTATTTACATTGCTTACACATTGATCAATATACCTACAGCAGTGAACTCAAGTTGCCAGCACTATCTAAGCATGACCAGCAGAATGAAGATGAGTCTGCCAGATAAATGAGTCCTTTATCATGCATCTTTTACCTTTGGTGAGGCAAGTTGTGCCAGCCAACGTGACACCAGTGAGCCAAAAATGTCCATAGGACTATGCATAGTACTGAGAGACTCTCCTCCTGCTCTCTCCCCACATGATAATTTAATGTTGGATTCTCTTTAATACTAGAACTCAGGATGTGTAGAGGGAACCAAGGGCAAAGGTGAGAGGACTAGGACTCTGCAAGGAACAAAGGAAGAGGAAAGGAGCTGGAACCTTTGGGGAGATGGGAGGTAAAGGCAAGTCCTGAATAGATAAACCCTTCCCAGGGAAGTAAGCAAAATGTATTTGCTCCAGGAACGAAATCCCATTGAGTTTCAGGCTCCAGATCTCCATGTCAGATGTAAGTATCTTTTTTTTTAAAGAAGTTGCAGTATAAGTCTCTTCCTTATAAGTAGTGCAGCCAAAGGAGAAGGAAGGATAAACACTGGTTGATTGATAAACTGATTGATAAAATAATACACCCCTACACGGTCAAAGAACACTTCTTTGTAGTGTAGCTTGTGGAAATTAACATATTTATTAACTTCATTTATATTCCACCTTTCTCCCTAATGGGGCCCAAACCAGCTCACATGGTTCTCCTCTCCTGCTTTTTAGTCTCTCAACAAGCCTGTGACAGTTTAGGCTGAGTGTGTGTGACTGGCTCAAGGTCACCCAGCAAGCTTCTACAGCATAGTGGGGATATGTCTTTTCTGGAGGGCTTGGGACAGGGAGACATAACCGGGATGAAATCCCTGCTCATCCATGAGGATCAGGGGTGTGTGTGGTTGATTAGAATAGGTTATACCATCTCAGCCTAAACTGCCTCACAGGATTGTTTTGAGTATGACACGACCCCTTCTTGGAAAGTAGCTCAAATGGGAATGACATAAATAAAAGTATTGCAAATGTTTTTGCAGTACAGCAATCCAATGGCATAAAGTAGTTTTAATATATTACAGGGCTTAGTATGTGTCTTAATTCAGAGTGTCAGAGCAGTTTACAAAACCAATTAAATACCTGACTAGTGGTGTCATTTACTCATACAAGGAAAGGGAAAAAGGAGTTTGTGAAGATGATTCAAAAAAACACATGGCTCCACATAAAAGAAAGGAGGAGGAGATGAGCAACAGGGAAATAATAAGAGCTCAAGGTCACTCTTCACATTACATGTTCATGCACATCCATATTTGAAAATATATGTGGATATTATGTGAGCACAACAATGCAGGAAACCTCTTCAGGGAACACTAGTGAGATGAAATAAATGGATAGTATTGCGATCTGTGTGAAAAGGAACTTTTAAGAATAAAATCTTTTTACAAAAAGAAAAAAAGGAAAATAAATTGAAAGAGCTGAAAAATGAAGCTTTATTTAGAAACAGTGTAAACCTGCTATAGGTGTACACAGATATGCACTATTGAATAAACTGGACAAGTTGGAAAACAGCACACTCAACCCAACTTACCATGAATAACTTTTCAGTTATATCCTATTTTCCCCATACATGGTCTATCTACACCACTGTCAGGTGAAAAGTTGGAGCCAGTCTAGGCAATTGGCTTCCTCCTGGTAAATTTTCAGAACTATTACTCACCACGAATTCCATCTTACCTCCTGTCTGAGTGATGACTTGAATATCACTAGAAAGAGGTCCATCCCCAACTGAGGTAAAAGCAAGAACTTTTACAGAATAGGTTTTCTGTGGTATTAGATTCCCAATGGTGGTGATATGGCTGTCAGCCACATTGTGCTTCAACCAACTATTGACATGTTGGGAAGGGTCCATGGTATAATAAACTCTGTAACCTTGTATTTGACCATTTGGTTCTTCCGGTTCTTCCCATTGCACCAAAATGGTGGTTGAGCTCAACATACGAGCCTGTACATTACGTGGCGCACTAGATGGTGCTTGCTCTGAGGTCCGCGTTGAAACAGGTTCACTGGGTGGACCACGTCCAATGTTATTGACAGCAACTACTCTGAACTCATATTCAGAATATGGGCTTAAACCAGCAACGCTGTATCGTGTAGTGGCCACTCCGTCGATTTCCTTATAAGGTTCCTCAGAGCTTTTAGGTTTATGCTGGATAATGTAGTAAGACACTGGCTCAGGGTTTCCAGAATCCCAAGTCAAAGTGATGCTTGTTGCTGTGCTTTCTGTCACAACGGGAGTTCCTGGAGGTTTAGGTAAGGCTAGAAAAAAATTAGAATAAAATCGATTTAATTGATGAAACATAAAAGCATGTAATTATGAGTGAGTAAACAAAGACAAAAAGCAAGCAAAAGGGCAAGTAGATTTAGTAATGGGGCAGATCTTTTATTTGAAAGACATCTGTCAGTAAAATTGTTTTAAATTGATTTGTCTGTGTTTTAAATCATTTATTTCATTTTATCAATTGTAAAATGTATACTGCTTAGCAGTTTTGTGGAAGCCGCCCTGAGCTTACCTTGGCGGGGAGGGCAGGGTAAAAGTTCAATAAATAAATAAATAATCTAGACTAGGACTACGGTTTTATTCAATTTTCCAGAAGAGTACCCCCCCCAAAATAAGCATTTTGCTAACAAGTTACATTTAATTTGACAAAGTAATATAATTAATGAAAAAGAGAGCATGATTAAGGCCTGATATCAGAAATGTCTGGAATGTATAATTCAAGTACCAAGAAAAGTGAGAGGTCTTTCCAAAAATAAATGCTGAACAGATACTTGACCACTGGGTGCCTTTATAAAATTACTGTTCCTAGAGTGAACTAAGAGGAAGAAAAATAGAAAGTTGTGCCAATGCAACACTTCAGCTAGACAACAGTGGGCTTCAAAATGTCAATTTGATGCATGTAATGTCAATTGTGGTAGTTCCTTCCAGGGGTCATTTTGTAGAAAAAGAGCTAGGGGGACTCATTAGCATATGCCACACCCCCTGACATCACCGAACGTGTGTCCTCCCCACAGCCGGCGGCGACCTCCAGCGGGCACCAGCAGGGAGCTCCAGGCCCCACCCTCCCGCACCTCACCCGGGGGGATGGCGTCCCCCCGCATCCCCCCCCAAATGACCCCTGGTTCCTTCAGTTATTTTCTGCAGGCACTTTAGATGTTTAGTATATTTTCTAAATCAGACATTCCCAGGGTTTGTCATAAGGATTACAAAGTTAACAAACAAATGTTTGGGGTTTCCCAGAGTATAGTAAGCAGAAAACAACATTTCTCAGTGCTAGAACAGCTTTCTTATACGCTCCCTTAGAGAATGATTCCCTGAAGCTTTTTTTAAAAAAAATTTAAGGCAAGCAATAGGCTGCTGTTTCACTGTCTTTGGCAACCCTCAATTAACATAATAAGTAGGGAGGAACTCAGAAACGCATATAACAGTGATTAGAATCGGGGTCGTTTTACTAATATGAATTGCTACCAAAGTGACAAGTCAACCTACCTATTCATCCAAGCAAGAGATTTAAGACCAGATATCAGTGCACACATGGGAACATGTGACCAATCATCAGGGCTCCTGCTGACTGGTGAAGATCTGATGAGAATCAGCAATGCACAAGGTGACTGCTCACAGAAGTGTGATCTGCAATCCTGACACTGCTTAAAGGCAAGATTGCATAACTATGTACATACGTGTAGTGACTGTATGATTGGTCAAATCATAATAGTCTGCCTTCAGGAATCAGCAAATATATATACAAACAAATAACATGTCTATGAGCAGTATGAACAATTGCTGCTGGAAGGGTGAGCCAGCCCCTAAAAATGGGGATGGGTTTGGGAGGAGCTCACAATTCCCTTAAGTAATTAGCAGGATGGAAGAGAAGGGATATTTACAGTAGTTACAGGTTGCTTTATTCTTTCATTGTTTATACTGTTGAACTTAAAAAATGAAACTTTAAAAAAGTAATGAATTTATGTTTGTGGAATAACACCACATATTTCAAAAGGACCTGGACAATTAGGTTACACCCAACATCTCAGAAATATATTTGATTGAAAAGACAGTCTTCAAATATTATGTTAAATATTATTTTTAGCATTGCAGAATATCAGCTTAGTGCAGATAACAGACACAACTTATGCTTTGATGTGGACTTCCTTGTGGCTTTGTAAGTCCCTGCAGCAAACTGAGTTCTATTATGGCAAAATACTTTTTTTTCTTAAGAAATGCTATGACCCAAGGTTGTTTTATGATATCATTGGTTGAGAGTGTTTCTGAAATGATTCTAATGAAATATTCATGCCAAAAAACAATCACCCTCATTTTTCTGGAAGCAAGAGGTGAAAGAAATCTCAAGTATTCTCACAGAAGAAAAGCCTGGAATTACCTATAGCATTACCCCTCCCCCCCCCCCCCAAAAAAAAACTTTATTCCCTCCACTGGAATCATTCCCAAAGTATCCCTATGCAGGTAAATATAACCTAAAGTAATAGCCTGAAAAAATAGAAACCATAAAAGGACAATGTTTACATTATATTTGTATTTTTATGGATACCATGGTATGTCTGTATTATTAGAAAACTATGATTCACTGAGGGCAGAAACAAATCTTGAGTCAAATTAACACTACCAGTTCAAAGCGTTTGTTGAGAAATTTATAAGACATAATTAGGGGATGGGATACTAATATTAATCTGAAGAAATTAGAAAGGACATCCAAATGAAATCTGGTAACATACCCACATTAACCAAAAGATCTAGAGTTGTTTATAATTTGATGCACTGACATTATTGAATTAGAAAAAAAATACACATTAGGTCATATAACTGCGGGAGGTGTAGTAGACCAAGTACTAATTTATTTCATGTTCATTTTGAGTACCTGGATATCACAAAATACTGGATTATCACATTTATGGCATATTTGAGATGTTTGGTGTGAAAGCCAGTTTGGTGTAGTGGTTAAGTGTGTGGACTCTAAACTGGGAGAACCGGGTTTGATTCCCCACTCCTCCACTTGCACCTGTTGGATGACCTTGGTCAGGCCATAGTTCTGGCACAGCTGTTCTTGAAAAAGAGCAGTTTCTGTCAGAGCTCTCTCAGCCCCACCTTCCTCACAGGGTGTCTGTGGTGGGGAGGGGAAGGGAAAGGAGATTGTAAGCCACTCTGAGACTCCTTTGGGTAGTGAAGGGTGGGGTATAAATCCAATCTCCTCCTCCTCCTCCTCCTCTTCTTCTTCTTGCAACTGGACCAGCTTTCTGCTTTTCTTTTTGTAAAGAATACATTCTACTAATTTGGAGATGATCACCCATCTTTGTACCACACTATGACTAGGAATTGCTCAAAGATGAGGGGTAAAAAACAACCATAATGAGTGATAATTGGAATATAGTGCATTGTTGTTGTGATCAAAGAGAATGCAGACACACACATAATGTATGACCAGACACTTTGTTAAGGCCAATGTGAATTCCTGTTATGATTTGATTTGGTGACTCTGATAAAAGTGCAGGTAAAAAAGTGTATCATGTAGTAAGAACTGGGTCTGTACAGCATGGCAGATGGCCTCAGGCAACATCAAAACAGAACTCTGTGTCAAGGAGCTATTTTATATACAGGTGTATATAATGGAATGCCAAAATGTGCCAGGGATAAGGATGCAAATATTCTATACCAAATCATCAGGTACCACACATCCAAATGCAAAAAAAAGGGGGCCCGGGGGGGGGGGGGGGACCAACAATACTGTCACAGGGCATTTGGAATCCTCCTTTGGCCCTTCTGTTTGCATATATACAAGGGCAGGAAAAACTGCAGAGAAAGGTATAGCAGGGTAATTTATAGGAGGTCCTTGGTTCAAGCTCTGCATGGGACAACCTGCAAGACAGATGTGGAAAGTGTACCACGCACATCTGAAATGTTGCACCATCAGACTTAGTCACTAGGAACAGACCACTCAGGCCAATAATTTGGCTTAGCACCTTCCCATGCAGCCAATCCTTCCATGGCATTAAAGGCGGGTATATGAGCCCGCCTTGGCGGGGAGGGCGGGGTAAAAGTCTAATCAATCAATAAATAAAATATTACCACTGCCTGATGTTATTACAGCCACTTTTGTTTTCCATTTCCCCTTCCTGTCGTACAGGTTAGGTAACTTATCACACTAACAATTTTTAGGGAGATTGTGAAGCTGGATCGGTCTGTCCTTCCCCCTTTTAGCTGTGTAGATTATGAAGAACCATCTAAGACCCATTCCTGCATGACTCCAATAAAGAAAGCATCTGAGGTTACTTTCAAGCAGGGGATGTCAACTTTCATCTCTCAACCAGCACAGAAATACTGAAATATAAATCATGTAACACGGACTCAGATATGAAACAATCCACATGTTTATTAAACCGCATTGTTACTTTTTCTGAATTCAGGTCATATGAATAAGTTCATTAACTCTCTTGATCTAACAAGGCTCCTTTGGCTTTGAAAGTTGCACCAACAAAACACAGAATCCCAGGTACAGCTGTCCCTATCACTCCATGCTCATGAGAGGCACTACTGTGCCCGTCAAACAACAGTTTGCAGGTACGAGGATGGAACAGGAGAGCCGACAACCACACAGCAGAGCAGCTAGATGCACACTGGCCACTGTAGCTCTTGGTCATGTTGCAAGTTTAGCAGATGGTTAGCACTGCTCTGTGAACAGGGTCCAACCTGGTCTCTACCTCTGTTGGAAGGCTGCCTAGAAAGAGCCAAAAGAGACATAAGGGTAGCAATGAATAATGTTCAGCAGTAGCAACAAACAGCAAGTGGGTCCAATCGCTCTGTACATGCTGTGAACTACTACAGATTTGAGAGAATGGCACCATTCATACATGCTCTTACAGTACTTCTCCCCCCTCCACACTGTAGGGATTCACTTATTGGAAGAAATAGTGTAGTAACTGAGCCAACACTTACCCATAGCTCACAGGATGTTGCATTAAGCCCTGTTTGCAGTTTTGGCCGGGATTGGTCCGTGACAATTCTGAAAGTCAAAAGGCATCATGAGTATTTGGCCTGCATAAGCAATAGTTGGACTGCTGACAGCATTCAAGAAATGGGTCCGTGTTTACTGTTTCCCTACTTGTTCACAGGGTTACACCTGCATGACATTGTACCAGCATGATAGTAATGTTCTGCCAGCATAGCTGGCGGGGGGATGCCTTCTACATGTACATACTTTGCCTGAGACTATTAGTAACTGTGATGGAGGAAGGACTGTTGAGGCAAT